CTCGGCTGCGGAGCCGGTGGCGCCTCTGGGCGCTCGAGTGCCGCGTGAGCATTTGCAGTGGAGGGGGCCGAGGTGGTCGGGAGGGCTGGGGTCGGCGGTGCATTTCCCTGGCCCGGCGCCGCCACCACGTGTCTCAGCAGCCCGGTGTCTGCTCGCCGGCCGGGAGGGGAGCTGGGGGTCTCGGCTGCAGCGCTGAGACCCTGCGGAGGGTGTTCCTCAGTGGAAGCCGGGGTGGTTGCACACGGATGCGGAGGTCACTTTGGTTTTGGAGGCACAGATTTCGTGGGAACTTTTCCAAGGTCATCCAGCTAGTAGCAGCCAAGAGTCCCATTCAGGCCGTCATGTACCCGAAACGATAACATGATGATAATGATTATGATTACCCCGCCTCCAGACAGCCGGAATACTGTTCTGAGTGTTTTACTTAAACTTAATTCATTTGCGCCTTCAACCACTCGACCAGGTAGGGTCTGTTACTCCCATTTTAAAGATGACTACATTGAAGGACAGCCGGGTGCAAGTAATTTGCTGAAGGCTACGTAGCCATATCAGGAATGGGGACTTGCAAGCAGAGTTTGGTGCTGGAGTACAGTTAATATATGATGTTTTAAGCCTCTCTGTAGCCAAAGCATCACCCCTCCCTTGTTCCTTTTCACTCCTTGTTCCTTTCCCTCTGCACAGCTGTAGGGCCATGTGAAACAACCTCTGCTTCAGCCTGTCCCCAAACCAGTGCCACCAGAAGGTTTACATCTGTTTACCTCTGCATATGAGGCCCAGTGCCAAGAGCTTCCATCTTTGCGTAGGAGATACTATTATCTATTATTATATTGTTTATAGTATCACCATATTAGTTAATAAATAGGTAGCAATTATTTAGTCATTAAAAGTGTTACAGTTATTTAGTAATTAAAAGTATTACAAAATAATCACCATTATTTGCATCTTACTAATAAAAGACTGAGTCACAGAAGTCCTGTTGTTTGACTAAGGTCACTTACTGAGCAGGTGATGGTGCTACATCAGTACTCCTGTGGTGCTGCAGACCATGCTGTTCATCTACTCCACTATATTTCTGCTCTGCCTTTTACCTTTAAATCTCCATAGTTTTCCTCCCTACTGTCTGTTCATCCATCCGGTATTATTCATCCATCCAGTACATTTTTTATTATGCACTTGGACTGTGATTCGATTCTGGACACTGTTAGTCCAGCAGTGAACAAAATAAGACACATTCCCTGGTTAAGATCTCATGGTTTTGATATTTTCCAGAAGGAAACAAGTCATGTTTGGGAGATGCTAAATTGCTATGAGAAAAAGAAAAGGTAAGATGGTATCTCATTGTATGTTAGGATTTTAAAGAAGACATCGTTAATATGTTGATTCTTGAACAGAGATCTGAAGAAAAAGAAGGCAGGAGCTTTGTGGCTCTGGAGGGGGAGCTCTCCAGTGGGGGGAATAGCAGTTGCAGATGTCTGAGGAGGGCATTTATGTACATAATTTTGCAGTTGCAAGGTGACTGCTACAGTGCAGTGACTTGGTGGAAGAGTAGTAAGAGACGAGTCTCTGTAGTGATCTTTATCCTTGCAGTTACTTCAGCCATAAGCCAGGCCTTCCTTACCATTCCATTCTTTTTCAGCAGGCCTCTCTGCCTAGCTCTTTCCTGTTCTGCTCTGTCTTTAACCTGAGCTGGCTTCACATTGTCCAAAGCTGTTCAAAGTTTATCCTGTAGAATCACGTGGGAGCTTGTAAAACATGCAGGTTTTAGGGCTCCATCCTAACTCACTGTGTGAATAGTACAGGGGAGGAGTCTGAACACATTCTAGAAGATGGGTGTAGACAATCAAGTATCTCTTGACCATAGTAAGCTCACTCTCTCACCTAATGTTGAGCCTACCTTTTCTGCTCCCAAGGTTTCTTAATGTTGCCTGCATGCTAATTCTTCATTGTGAGGGACTGTCCTGCGTATCGTAGGATGTATAACAGCATTTTTGGCTCCATCTTTCAGATGCTCATAGAACATTCCCCTAAATTGAGACAACCAGAAATGTCTCTAGATGTTGTCAGATGTCCCCTTGGGGGCAAAATTGTCCCCAGTTTCTCAGTCAGGTAAGCCCTATACTGTGTTAACACAGGTAGTGCACCTTACCACATTTACTCCTGTGGGTTCCTCTCTACTTTGTTTGCTTCTTCTGTCAGGTGTTTCTTAGCTTGGAAGATCCAGCGTAGAGATAATAATGGTAGCCAGTATTTGTGTGGCATGGTGTGGTTTATAAAGCATTACTGATTCAGATATAATTGTTTTGTATTTTTCAAACTTTTTTTTTTTTAAAGATTTATTTATGTATATGGAACTGGGGTACAGGCCAGAAGTGCAGGGGCAGTGAGAGGATTCACCAGAGCAGAGTGGGGAACAGAACAGGCAGATAAACGAAGTACACTGCTGAGGGGGATCAGCGGGCGGGCCAGCAAAGGTCTGATGTGCCATGTGGGTTACCTCCTGGCCAGGGATTGAACTCAGCCTGAGGCAGCTGCGGCAAGCTTTATAGTGCTACACTTTAACCTGCTGGCACCTCCAGGGAGGACCTGTTTTTCAAACTTTTGTTGCACATGTGTTGTGTGCCACAGAGCATTCTCTGTATGCTGCTCTGATTTTACCCTACATGCAAGTAACCCTAATAGAATCTCATCCCTTATGCTGCTTTATTAGTCTTCTTGCTACCAAAATAATGAATTGACTGATGAAGCTCTTTCTGGTTTTTTTTTTTTTTTGGTCAAGAACTGGGGTATAGGCCAGAGGTGCCAGGTGTGTGTGTGTGTGTGTGGTATAGGCCAGAGGTGCGGGTGTGTGTGTGTGTGTGTGTGTGTAAGATGATTCACCAGAGACAGAGTGGGGAACAGAACAGGTGGATTGACTGAAATACACTGCTGAAGGGAGCAGCGGGTGAGAGAGGAGAGGTCTGTTGCACCATGTGGGTCAGCTCCCTGGCCGGGTATGAACTCATGCTGTGGTGGCTGTGGATAGTTTCCTAGTGCTGCACTTCAACCCCCCTGTACTACCAGAGAGGCCCAGAAGCTCTTTCTGTTCTAATAGCAACTCCCAGTGTTTCCAAGTGTAAGGTCTTCATTTTTATTAACATCAAGGATTTCACGTGCTCCTCCAATGTGATAATAATTATACTCTTCGGGGAAAAAAATCAGTGGTTAGAAAGGGACTACAAATTCAGTAAGCCTATGCTTAAATTTGTTTTTTCTCTGGGTAATATTGACACATTGCTTGAAAAATAATTGGCACAATACAGTAAGTCCTTATTTAACATTAACGGCAGGTTCTTAGAAATGGCACTTTTAAGATACACATTGTGTAACAAAACTAAGTTCTTGAACAATGCTTTTTTCTGTCCTTGTCCGGGGTTTTTCCTCATCGCCATTGTAACAAATGATGTTTACAGGATGATGCGATTTGAGGGCGTGCTGTATGTTCAAGCCACGCCTGGGTACAGCCTCCTAGTCCTGCTTGCGGGGCACATAGACCCACGAACTCTGCATTAACACTGCCCTGCCTTGGGGTAGTCGGAGAAGGGGACGTACCAGGAGAAGTTACTGGCCTCTACCCCCTTCATCCTCCAGTAGCCCTCAAAATTAATGATATCCTCTTCTGTGCTTTTCCGATGCATCTTTTATGGCCTCCTGTGATGTTTGCTTATTTATTGATCCGTCTGTCTCTGCTCACTGACTGTCAGATCTAACTTCTCATTATACCCTTTAAGCACTTAGCACAATTCTTTGTACAACACTGACTCTTGAAGACATTTATGGTAAATACTCCAGAACTTCTGCCGGTTAGACAGACTAATGTCTTCTCAAAATATGGCTTAGAAAATCTAGACTTAAAAAAAAAAATAGCTACTAAATGTTTTATGTCACATTAAGACAATAAATTTTTGTTATTCCATACAACATAACATTGAAGTAGTTGGTAACTATCTCCTGTTGTAACCTTTGCCATTGCTTTTTCCATAAGGTGTCATCGGTATTATAGAGAAGAAAAACCATAGGAGAAAAATATAGATTCCTAACTTCATTATTTTAAGTCTAGTTTATTACAGCATTGAGCTCATACATGAGCCCAAGACTTGTGAATTGAAGGTGCATTTCCCTAAAATTATGGCAGCTGTCCTCAATGCTCTTCCCTGCTTGCTTCATTTTCAGGGAGTTAGTGACTGGGAATAAGATTTTGACAAGACAGATTGAGTCTTGTGTGTGAGCACAGTGTTGGTTTAGCTCATTTTGAGCAAAAGTGTAATCTGGCTCATAGAAGCAGATAGGAACGCAGAGGCAGAGCTGCTCATATTGCCAAGAGTGACTGCTTGCCTGTGTGGGAATGTGACCGCAGTTACTGACGTGGGTTGATACAGTAGGTATTGTATGCTTAGGCAGTTCAGACCTCTTTCAAATAGCCATGGAACGGTCATAAGAAAGAGAGTCATCTGAGGCGGAGATACAGGAAGATGGAATGCAGTTCAGTATGAGCGAGAACTTTCTACCCGTCAGGTCCTCCTTTGCACTGGAGAGGATTGAGGAATCCAACTCACAGGGGCTTCCTCCAGAAGAATTACTGGACGTATCACAAAATTATCCTGATCTGGCCCTCCCTGGTGGCGCAGCGGGTTAAAGCACTGCACTGAGAAGCTAAAGCCACTTCCGCATGAGTTCGATTCCCGCCTGCGCCGGAGGTGTCCACATGGCGTGGCAGACCTCTCCTGACCCGCCCGCTGCTCCCCTCAGCAGTGTACTTCGTTGATCTGCCTGTTCTGCTCCCCACTCTGTCTCGGGTGAAGCTTCTCGCCGCCCCTGAGCCTTTGGCCTGTACCCCAGTTCTGTATGAACAAATAAATAAATCTTAAAAAAAAAAAATTATCCTGATCCTCCTACTTAAAGTTCCTATTCTGCCCATCCCTAATTGTAGCAGAAAACCAGTGTTAACTAAGATCAATATGATGGGATTTTGCCCATTTTATAGATGAGAAAAATGAACACTCAGAGAAGTCCAGAATGTTCTAAGCTTATCTTATAAGTGGAGGGTTTAAATTCTAACTTTTATCTTAGGTCCCTGTACCCAAAAGTTATAATATAAAGTATTAACTTAGCATTTTACCAGTTATAAGAGGCTTTGCTCTGCAGGCGCTGTCTGTGGGCACTCATGAATTCTGTGTCTGGAGAGGGCCCGCTTGCAACAGCTCACTGGGGTGTTTCAGAGGAGGCTCAAATGTTAGCCAGTTGTTGGAAGACATGGTGTTTCAGCTCTCTTCCAACTTCTTTGTCGTCATCAATCTATTGTTCAACTTTGAAAGACATAGAGCATTCTTGCTTAGTTATACTGATTATTATTTTATTTCAGTGAAGAAAATATTTGGAAGCTCTGTGAATACATTAAAAACCATGACCAGTATCCTTTAGAAGAGTGTTATGCTGTCTTCATATCTAATGAGAGGAAGATGGTAAGTGGGTGAGTGATAGAAAGAACTTAGGATGACAATAGAAGCTAAACAGAGTTTAGCTAAATAGAGCTTAGCATGATTCTAAAATGTATATTATAAAACATAGCAATATTGTAAAGTTTGTCCTTGAATGAGATTTTTTTCTTTCAAGGACATAGTTTTATTAGAAGAGTTTAGTCCTTGTAAGTAAGGGAAGACATAACGATCTCTTTACAGATTAAGTCCCTTTTCTTTAGGTATTAACTTAGAATGTTTAAAGTTATTTGGATTAGAGCCACATCCTCAGGTTTGACGTAAACATTTCTTTGTCTTTGGAATTTAAATAGATTGCGGTAAACATATGCAGTATTATAAACAGTAAGTTGGTTATATTTTGTAAAGCACATTTGCAAGCATCATCATTTGATCCTAATGAAATCCTGTGAAGTAGATGTGGTTCAGACCACTGTCTCTGTTTTATAGATGTGGAAATAGAGATTCAGGGTGGCCCCATGAATAATTAAGGTAGAAAGCAAGAGTTAAGCCTGCCCAGCCTTCTGATTCTTAGTTCAGGTCTCTTACTGATACTTAGAAATAGTTTTCATTTTTATATTGCTTTAAAAAAATTGATCATGATTTAACTGAAAATTGTGGCTTATGAAGTTTACTATATTTTTGTAGATACCTATCTGGAAACAGCAGGCAAGACCTGGAGATGGCCCTGTGATCTGGGTAAGATGGGCAGTACTTGTCTCCCTGAGTGACCTCATGTTTTGGTAAAGCAGATGTGATTGGGCAGTGGAGAAAGGTTATTGTTAATGAACTGACCACTTGAGGATTGGTATTATTTGGTCTGAGGTAGAAGCACTTACAGGCATGTTTTATTTTAGTTTTGAAATTACTGTAGAAATGATTTTAAATGGTCCAGGTGACAGATACGTTTTCATCTCCCAGACTCTTTTTCATTTAGCACTGGAAGGAAGTTTAGCAGTATCCAGTTGCACAGGAGAATTATATGGAGACGGTAAGACACAGATTCCCGATTTGGACAATCCAGGGAAAGGGTCAGGAATTAGTGTTCTTAGCAAACTCTCTAGTGGCGATGACTGACATTTGAGAAGCATAACCTACTGTAGCCCCTTCATTTTTCATGTGAAGCAATAAGCCCACATTGCAATAGCTCAAGGTCATCTGACTGATGAGTAGCAGGACTGGTCCTTTCCGATACATATCTGTGTCGCTAACCTGTCTCCTTAAAGAATGGACTTACGTATGCGATTAAAAAAGAGATAAAGAGTCCCTCCCTGGTGGCGCAGCGGGTTAAAGCACAGTACTAAGAATCTGAAACCACTTCCGCATGAGTTCGATTCCCTCCTGCCCCGGAGGTGACCACAAGGTGCGGCAGACCTCTCCTGACCCGCCCTCTGCTTCCCTCAGCAGTGTACTTCGTCGATCTGCCTGTTCTGCTCCCCGCTCTGTCTCTGGTGAAGCCTCTCGCTGCCCCTAAGCCTCTGGCCTGTACTCCAGTTCTGTATGAACAAATAAATAAATCTTAAAAAAAAGAGAGAGATAAAGAAAAAAAAAAAAAAGTCAGCACATGGTGATGTAACCAATACCTAGTTTCTGATACTTACTTAAAAGATTTCACTTGGTTTTATTCATTTAACATGTTTATTGAGTGCCTATTGTATGCCACAATAATAAGGAATATGTACTTCAAAGACACTTATATGAGGTAGAAGGTATCAAGAGAGAAACAGCTTTTAAATAAGGCAGAGTCTGTTTCTAGAAGGGATTAGGAGATTTTAAGAGATGAACTTACGGAGGAGGAAGCATTTGAGCTGTAGCTTGCGTGAGGGAAATGGGAGAAAAGTGGAGGTACTTGGAGGGAAATAACATGAATAAATCCAAGGGAAGAGAATTATGGACAGTTACAGGGGAAGCAACTCTTAGTTTCTTGATGTGGAGGGTAGGGCGCATCAAGGAGAGCAGAGGGGATAGGCATCCATTTCTGGTGCTATTTCTGCTTTGCTCAGGTAGAATTGGAGCCTAAGGCAGCTCTTTGGGCTCTGATCGCACAGCATCGCTAGTGGCAATTATCTTTCCCACCTCTTGGAGCAAAATGAAGTAATGTTTGAGAAAGTGCTTTGTAAGCTTTGAAGCACTAGCAGTGTAAGATGGTATTACTGATACTGTTCGATGGCATTTTTTATCTTGCACTGTTCTCTGTGGGAGCATTTTTCTGCTGAGGACCTTCAAGCACAGACTGCCCTCATGTTCCTGATAACCTCCCTGTCATCCCTTCCAGCAACTCACTGGTGTTGGGTAGTACCCAGTGTCTGTGAAAGATGCACCGAGACCCGGTGGAGTGGGAGAAGCTCTCTATCCTTCTCGCTTGCTGGCTGCAAACTAGGACTTGATTAGCTTTGAAAAACATTTTTGTTTTAATCACAAATGTAGTACAAAATAATTTGTAATGAATAATTTGGAGGTTACCTTTGCAGACTTTTTTCTCTATATTCTTCTGCATATGTAATTCCCACTGTATATACATAAAGTTTTTTTTTTTAAGAGTCATTTTATTTATTTATGTATACAAGAGCTGGGGTGCAGGCCAGAGGTATAGGGGTGTGAGAGGATTCACCAGAAATAGAATGGGGAGTAGAACAGGCGGATTCTCTGTTGGGGGAATCAGGAGAGGTCTGCTGTGCCATGTGGGTCACCTCCCTGACTGGGGATGGAACTCATGCTGCAGTGGCTGCCAGTAGCTTCTTAGTTCTGAGACTTAACCTCTTGTGCCACCAGGGAGGGAGACCCTATTCATAAGGCTTTTTAAAAAGCTCTAACATATAGGGCCTCCTAGTTGATGCAGGGGGTTGAGTCTCAGCTCTATGATGCAATTGGCAGCTACCATTAACACAAATTCCATGCCCAGACAGGGAACTAGCCCATATGTTGCCGCGGACCTTGCCTGTCTTGCCCATATCCCCCCGCCAAGAGGGTATTTCAGTGAATCTACCTGTTCTGCTCCCTGCTCTTTTCTCTGGTAAATCCTCTCACCTTCCCATTCCTCTGGCCTACATCCCAGCTCTTATATGCATAAATAAATAAATCTAAAAAAATTATATACTCTGCAGTTTAATATTTACATCCAGTAACATGTTTCTTTCTTCCCTTTTCAAATAAATTTACCTGAATCTTTTTAGCAACTGTGTAGTATTCTATAATGTAATGGCTTCATGGTTTGTTAACCATTCCTTTTTGATAGACTGGTTGTTTCTGAATTTTCACTATTATGAATAGTGTTGCAGAGATCTTTTTTGTAAAATACTTGTATGCACATATGGATATTTTCTGTAGGAGGGATTCCTAGAAGTAAAATTGCTGTGTCAAAAGGTATAATTTTAGTGTATGTGAACATCTTATGATTCATTTCACCATTTCCCTGTTAGTGGGCATTCAGTCTGTTTTCAAGGTTTTACTTTGATTTTCCGATTATGAAGAGGACTGTAATAGTCTTATCTGTTCTTGATGATATATGCGTTATTATTGTAACCTTGGAAGTACCATCATAAAGTTAACTTCAGCAACTTTTACTTCTAGGATTACCATGTTGTCTTACTTCATGTTTCAAGTGGAGGACAGAGCTTCATTTATGATCTTGACACTGTCCTGCCATTTCCTTGTCCTTTTGATGCTTACGTGGAAGATGCCTTTAAGTCTGATGAGGACATCCATCCACAGTTTAGGAGGTGAGGAAACTCAGGGGATTTTCCAGCTTTCTTTCTTTTTTTTTTTCTTCAGTTCCCCCCCCCTTTTTTTTTTCCCACTGGGGTAACAGTGGTTTTCAACACTGTGTGATTCAGTGGTGTATAGTTATATCTCCAGTGACATATCACCACACCACACTCACCACAAAGTACCCATATTCCTCACCATGGTCCATTGATAACGTCCCAACTTTCTTAATTTACACCTTGACCTTGACATATTTATACAGAAGTTTTTGGTATATGTTTGTAAAGATTCTTTGTCTTGGCACCAGCATTAAGTTAATATTTGACATTGACATGCTACACAGAAGATTTAAACTGTTTTAAAGGTAGCCTGACAGGTAAAAGACTTGTCAAAAGTCTTTGAAAATGTGTGATAAAAGACTGAAAATGTGTGGTGAGATTGCAAACATTTTCTTTTGTTTCTGTTGGGAATTTCTTTTAAAATGTATTTTTTTATTATATTTTTTATTTTTTTATGTCATTCTTCATTTGGGAATTTCTTTTGCTTGTATGTATGTGTAGGTGGTGAGTGCCTTGTAATGCCCGATTTCTGAGGGTTAAACGACAGTGTGTGATAATTGTGCCTTTGTAGCTTGGAATTTTAGCTGGTTATTGCTCGCGACTTTTTTAACAGGTCCTAAAACTGTGTGTATGTTTATGTATTACTAATAGTAGACAGTTTTACATATATAGTCTTGTGCATGTCAAAGAAGTGAGTCTGTAAAAATGAGTTAGACTTTCAACTACCTCTCCAGCTTAAATGGACACTTATTGATTGATCCACAGGAAGTTTAGAGTGATACGTGCAGATTCATATTTGAAGAACTTTGCTTCTGACCGATCTCACATGAAAGATTCCAGCGGGAACTGGAGAGAACCTCCTCCATCCTACCCCTGCATTGAGACTGGAGGTGAGCCAAAGATGCCTTCTCAGCGGGCTTAGCACTTTCCATCTCCTTTAACCGAGGACAAAAATTCCGTAATTTATGCAAAACTCCCTGAGCAGTGGGAGGTCCATGGACATACAGTTTTTAGATTTGTTTTTTAGATTAGAAATTGTGGTGCATAGAACAGGGTTGGAAGGCTGAGGCACTCATGGGAGAGGACAGGTATTCAGAGGCAGAACCATGACACTTACCAAGCTGCTAGAGTAGTGGGCAGACCTGGTGCCTGGACACGTGCTTGGGGAGACGTGCGTGTTTGTGTCGTTTAGCTGCGGGCTTAACTCTGCCAATGAAAGGGTGTCATGCGTTAGTGAAGGAAATCACCAGTGTGATATCACATGTAATGCGTGATGCCTTGTTTCGCTGGCTCCTTAATGAAATCTAGATTAAAAGGAGAAAGAGATAGAGGGTTTTTGGTAGCACTTAGCTCACGGAGGTGCTTTTAGGCATTGGTCCAATTTTAATTTCCCGACATTAAGTAGATAGAGAGTTCTTCACCCTGTGACTATTATTTTGCATTCCCATGGGTTTGAAACATTATTTGTGATTTTAAGTAATTCACAGCATTTATTGGTGAGCTCATCCCATCACAGGGATGATCCAGTCTGTGTGAAAGTGCCCTTAAGCTGTGCAGTATGCCGGGAAAGTAGAACAGTGGAGAGAGTTGAGCCAGGAAACACAAGATGTATTTGGCGTATCTGAAGAGAGTAGAGACTACAAAGGAAGGCTCTTTGTGAAATGCTCACGTAGTTTGTAACGTTTATGTTGGAGTGGCTTTTTGGCTTGCCAGCCTGCTTCCCAGCCTCGGTGCTAGAACTGGGCGGGCTCCTTGGCTAGGGGAGGGCTTCTTGGGTCTTCTGAGTGTCAGCCTGCTCTCCCGGGAGTGGTCTGGGCAGCGTGTCTGGTTTGGTCTCCGCATCCTATTCCTCTCTGATGTGAGCATCTGAAACGGAGCCTAGGACACAGCTGGCGCTTCGCCAATACCATCTTGTCAGCCCTGATCCCGTTGGGAGTCATTCTTTTGGGTTTGAGTCATTCCTTAGACTGCCCAGTAGATGATGTTTTGTTCCAGTTGTTACATATTATCTTAATATAAAATTCACCACCCAGAAGCAACTTTATTCCCTCGCCTGGGAGCCTTCAAGCCCTTTCTTGAGGTGCACAGCTGGTGGCAGGGTCCCTGTGCTTGGGCTGGGGCTTGTAATGGTGGGGGTGCTCATGTCCTTTCTGTCTCATCAGGGGTCTCCTGAACTTGAGACTGAAACTAAAGATTCTGTTCTAAAGTGTGTAGTAAACATTAGTTTCTTGGGGAAGTATTCAACCATATTGTAAGGTTGATCTTTGGTAAATTCATTACTTCAAACCCTGTACTTATCGATGGAGTGACTGTATTTGAAATTAGGATAATTGGGAATTACTTTTGAATTGGCTTCATTTATTTAACATATATCACAAAAATAGAGTATTTAGCTCAAAAGATACTAGTTGACTGTTTTTATAAAAAAAGGTATAAAAAATTTAAAAAACTTCAGTTTTTAATGTGTGTTTAGATAGTTTAATAGCAGCTTTTCTTAGTCCCCTCCCCCCCTCCTGTGTTAAGTGATGGAAACAACCCGCATGACTTAAAAAATCAGAGTATATTTGTTTGCAGCCACAATTTTCAATTCAATGTTTTATGTTTTTAAGGAAAGAAAAACTTTTTTTCTGTGACAAGAAGAATCCTGAGATTTACACTTGGTGCTCACAACCTTGCCCTTAAAACTCAGTTCCAGCAGCAACCCCACTGAGGCTCAGTTTTCGCGGACATTGCCCAAATCTTGGGTTGGGTTGTAGAACTCACCAGATGTGTCCCCTTCTCTTCTGAGCCCTTCCTGCCTCTTGTCCACACACACCTCTCATTGTCTTTCTCTCAGACATAGAGAAATCCTGGCTAGTTTGTGCTAGGCTTGAGGAGGACCAGTGTTAGTTGAATGGAAGAGTTTGAATGTTTTGTGGAGGAGATTAGAAGCAAATGCTTATTTAACCTTTTTTTTAATGTCTTTTTTTTTTTAAAGATTTATTTATTTATGCATACAGAACTGGGGTACAGGCCAGAGGTGCAGGGGTGGTGAGAGGATTCACCA